TCCGTTGTCTCCAAAAGACCTTTGGAAAGACTTGAATATGTATTTAATTCCCTCCACCCCCCTGCCAGTAATGGCACATTTTGTGAATTGTTTTTCTCTCTTCCCCCTTATCTTGCTCTAAAACTTTTTGCTATCCAACCTGACTTTGTAGTTCTGTTTCTGTTTCTTACTTGTTTATTATTGATTTTGTTCTTTTCTAGGTTTGTTTTTTATGACTTTTTAATGTTCTGTTTCTCCCTCCAGGCCAGTATAAAGGACTTGAAGTATTTTTGAATACCCTCCCCCGCCCCAATGAATTTCAGAAGTGCCATTCTGATTTTAGGGATTTATTTTTTTTTAAATCACTTTAAATGCCTGTTTCCAGCACTGATTATCTTAATAATCCATTAGGGCAAAAAGTTTGTAGTCATTCATATCCTGTGACTGGGTAATTGAATAATTACCTCTCAGCAATTGCCCTGAAGCAAGTGAAAACAGCTCTGGGCAGGCAGTGCTCTAGGGTCACTGGGAATGTCTAAAGAGAGGAGGCTGGAGGTACCGTGATGGCTTTAAAAGCCACCTTATTAAATAGAGTTTGTATTGATATTGGGATGAAGACAATCTATTCAACTTTGGGTCTTTCACTTGCTGTTGTATTTGTATGTGTTTAATACACCTTGTAGACATGTGCTTTGATAATCTTTAATTTGAAAATAATGTGTCCTCATGGATGCCTTTATTACTCCAGCTCTAGATGCAAATATTTCAATGGCTGCAATTGTCAGAGGTATCTAAATGTGGATGACCTAAATGCAACCCTCTCCTTGGCTTCCCGTCTATGGGACTAGAATTGAGGCCGTCTCCTCCATCCCCAGAAAAAAAAGGCTAAATTAATATGACCATGAGTGGGAATTTTTACCCAGAACCCACTGAAGAATTTGACTATCTGAACAAATGTATTGGGCCTCTCTCAGAGCTATAAAACATCTAACAAATGCAAAAATTGTGGAGCTCTAAGGTTCAAGAAGAAGACGGAAAAAAAGATGTTTCTGAAAGTGATAACTACTTTTAAAGTGCTGCATATTTATGTGACTGAGAGATTATTTTTGTAGATGAAATGTCTGTGAGCTGGGATACATGAGCAGTGCTTCAGGCATTTAAATATCACTTTTTACTCCTAGGGAGATGCAAATAAACAGAACTCTCTTATTTCCTCTGAGTCTTTATACATTTGTTTTCTTTCCCAAGCTTATGTTGCCTCTAGAAACTATTCTTATTTATTATAAAATTTTGTTATCCAAAACACTATGATGTTTCCTATGGGTGATGAACACTCAACACCATCTCTGGAAACCCCCTCCTCCCCACTTCTGCCACCCCTCCCCACTTCCCGTGGCTTTAACATAAACAGTGATGACTTTAAATGAGGATATAACTTGTGGTGTCTAAAATGATATTTTTTTACCAGACCACCTCAAAAACATCTCCAATAAAATTTTACTTCTCTTTGAACATTATCAGTTTATTCACACAGTTTTATTTTTAAAATCAATACGTATGTGCCTGGGTACAGAAAAACATGCTCACTTGGAGGTTTTCTTCGTAGAAAGGCTGTTATAAATATCTATCTACTCTAGGAAGGTCTTGAAATTAGACATACCCATATTTGGCCATTGAAAAGGAAACATTTCAGCTTTTGCCTTATCGCCTTCTCTCGGCTGCCTGCACACAGCAGTTGAGGACTGAAACCATAATTATACACCCTAAACCTCTGGACGCAAACTTTAGGCATTGAGAACTTTCTCTTTGCCTCCCAGGGAAGTGGCCCTTTAGGAATGGGGTGCCTCTTCGTTGTTAACACCCAGGCACAATCAGTTTAGTGGTTGCTAACTTTTTGGAATGTAAGCTCGATACAGATGTTTAAAACCTCACACAGTATGTAAACTCTTCTGGTGGGAGGGCTCCTTTAGGGATCTGCCAGAGAAAGCGCAGAGAGCTGAGGTTCCAAGCTACTTTCGTTTTCTCTGGCACGGCTTGATTTCTCTCATATCTTGCAACTGATTGTGGGGTGGTCAACTTGGTTTAAATAATGAGTCTCTCTCTCTCTCTCTCTCTCTCACACACACACACACACACACACACACACACACTGAGGGAGGAGGAGGTGGAAGAAGAGGAGAAGGAAAAGGGACCACGATTCAATCTCTGGAGAAGAAAGAACCCCTGAAAATGGGGCCACAACATGCCCGACCTTCCACTTTGGGGAGAATTACTAACATTTTCTGTTTTTCTCATAAGAGGTGTTTTCATCCGAAACGGGCCTGTTTTCCCTTCTCCATCGTCGTTTTCCTCACCTTCTTTTTTGGTAACTTCCAGAGTCAGGGGCCCGTACTCCATTTCCTGGGTCCATTTCTCAGGTTTCCTGTAAGACTGAGTGCAACCGAGGGGATTGCCTCGAGGTTTTCCTTTCATCTGTAGTTTCCCTCCGCCTAAGAGAATGGGAGGTTTGCTGAAGATTAAAACTGCGCTTAAACGCTCTCCTGGCGGAATTTGAATTGACGGCTAAATCAATAACAGATGAAGACTTGGTTATTTATATGAATTCCTTTTATATTCCGAAGGGAGGAGGGAGGAGAGGAGCCGGTCGGTGGGCTAAGTGCGGGAAAGGAGGCCCCCGGGACGCCGCGAAGCGCTGGGAGCTTCGGGGAGAGGCCTTGCCTTCGGGTGCAGACGGAGAGGCCCCACGGAGAGCGCCCCCGAAACCCGGCAGGTCCCGAGCGCCACGGGTGGAGGATCGAGGCCGCGCGACTGCGCGT